TGTAAAAGTTCCTTTTGTTGACTTAAATGTTCTCTCAAGGAATCAGATCTCAAGAATGGCATTAAAAGTTGGTTTCCTGAACATAGTTGTGTAAGACTGTGCGGGTACTTGACTCCTTAAACACACACGCATTTCTCTCGAAACATGTTCTTTTAACTCAACACACGGCATAACTCCAACCATTTTTATTGTTTTGATGTCTTTCGGTGTTGCTTTGTTGTTTTTTTATTTTTTTACTTAAATCTGCGGTGTGATGTGTGTCACCCTTCTTTCAATGCCACAGAAAATTCGCAATAATATTCTTTTTGTGCTCTTCTGTAATGTTACCACTTAAACACTGTCAAACCCAAGTTGATGAAGAAGAATATCGAAAATAAATGCTCGTTGCCGGATGTCAAAGTTTAGTTCTATTCTTGCCTGCTTCGCAGTCATTCAATATGAGTTCACTCTTATCCAACGAAACATTGAGTTGATATCCCCTATACGTAATACGATGATAGTCGCAAATAAGTGGGGAGAGAGGAACAGAGAATAGCCTCGTTCTGGCACATGTGTGGCCGATCGATAAATGTAATGCCTTCACCGACCGCACACGGCCCTATGACGAAGATCGCACACCGGTCGTAATTAAAGTATGGTCTACCGAACGAAAAACTGAATCCGAGAATGCCGTCTGAATAGTTGCACTTCTGAACTAATATTATGCCAAAGCTTTCGTCGTCCCTGCAGTCCGGTTCCGAACTTTGATCGGAAGAACTGCTGCGTAAGATAACTTAGATATTATAAAGCACTTGCCTTTTATTTCTCTGCTCTTTCTTTCTTTTCCATGGGTTTTGTTTACCGTTGGTACGATTGATCCATAGAGCAATTCGTAAATTTGTGATGAATAATACAGGCTTATAATCGCGTATTTGAAAGTTGGCTTACGCCTTTTTTTCGGTTTGTCTTAGTTCACGTATATGATAGCATTCAGCATTGTTTGATGAATTTGGTTTTTTTCTTTTTTTGCTTCGCGTATACCTAATAGCTGTAAAATACATTACCTCATAGCTGTCAAGTTCGACGAAAACGAAACAGCTGGGTTTTGCATTATTGTAGATTGTACAGAGTTGCATTTTTAGTTTAAAAAAAACAGTTGTAGTAGAAAAACGGAAATGATGGCAAAAACCTTACATGCTGCAGAAACAACCGTTATCAACTTTCGTCGTGATTGCGAGCGAACGTTAACTAAAAGGAGTATTTGAAAGGTAGATTTTGAGTTTAATTTTGGCTGTTTCTTTTTTACACAAGCTCAGCAGCTGTTAAATACATAGTTCCATTTCTGCGAATCAAAAAGAAAGCGAATATCAGCTGCCATCTTTGTCACGAAAGAAACCTAAACTTCAGGAGCGATTTCCTCTGTTTCTGGTTTGCACTGCATGAAACAAAAACAACGCTAATTAATGAATAAGAAAACTCAGATATATTTAAATTCAGCCGTAGTTAAATTAATCTTTATGTTAACTGAAACTACCGAAGTTTGGCAATGACCTATTTCTAGGAAAAGGGATGAATTTGAACCCCCTTGTTTTGCCGCAATTGCCGCAATCACAAAAATTAAAATAGATAGATTGAATTACGAAGTTAACGTTAAAAAACCATTGTGATCTGCTCACCTCCGCGTCCATAGCGATTAGAAGCTGAGGCAACCTCGGAAAAAAAAATCGTCAATTTTTTCATATTTTCGTCAATAACTTGTGATCCCGCGTAGATATTACCAATTGCACCAGGCCAATGCCAATCGCACATTCAGAGCAACAATGCTCCCAGACGGTTTAGTAATACGTGCACAATTATCAAAAAAATTGTAAATCCAATTTTTTTCTAATTTATAGCAATAATTGGGTGTAGAACATGCTAATGTGGGTTAGAGTATATTGGAAATACATTGGAAATAAATTTTATCGTTAGTGCTCAACTTGTTAGTAACCCGATCGCAGCCATTTTTGGAGTAAACGTGAAGGTGATCTTACCGAAAATTTGTACCACAGATTTGTCGATGGTTTTCTGAGGGTGTTTCAGTTTCTTCTATATTGTGGGTGAGCATATAAATCCATCTTAACCATCTTTCAATCTTAGATTCTGAATCGATCCAAAAATATTTGCGCTCATTTCATTTTTGCGATCGTAGTAACAAATAAAAACACTATAGTGGGACACGGCCTACGATTAAATACACCATATCATTTCGGTCTATGCAGTTCACATAACGATTTCTCAAAATAAGGCTTTGTATGCGGAGTGATCGCAGAAGTGGTCCGAACCCCAACTATTCTTAATTCGAAATTTAACCAAAAAATATTTTAAAAAATGCGACTCTGAAATTGCGCACAAAAAACAACACAGGCTGAGGGACAGACCGACAGGCTTAGGTGTATTCAGAAACCGATGCTGAATCGATCGGTGTAACAGAAGTTCAAGTTTTCCTGGATGTTCCATACATGTTCCGCAAACTGAACATGCTCTAGTTTCACACGTGGCGTAGGGTATAAACATTGCATTCTTTCTATACAGCCAGGGCTTAAACTGTAGTTTGATAATTATGGGGGACTATGGTTTCAACTCGGATCGACTGGATACAAATCTCGCGACGTATATTAAGAGGTTTTAGTTATAAATAATGAAATTAGTTCAGCACTGTATAATAGCCGATTAGCACAACCAATTTTATTTGCAATCGATCGACGAGGTCTTCTCTGTGTTTATGATACAAAAAAAAAAAAAAAAAACCGGTGAATATAACTTCTTCCACTTTCTTAACTCAATAAATGCGAAATTTAATGGAGAACTTGGCTTTGTGCAGCATTTATCATTATACAGTAAGACAAAGAAGAACGCAGACGAGCAGGCAACTAGCGGCAGACTTTAAATGAGGAAAATAAAAGAGCTGTGAAATAAAAATTTTATACGATTAGATGTGAAACTATGCCAGGAATGTGCAATTAATGTGTGTACGTGTGTGTGTGCCTTTTATTTTATCCATATATATGGATGCTTGTTTGCGTGCGTGTGTGTGTGTGTGTGTGTGTGTGTGTGTGTGTGTGTGTGTGTGTG